TTCACCACAGCTTTCACAACATATCTAATCCAACCAATCAGTAGAGCTGTACACTTTGTTGGGTACAAGTCAGCTGCTATAGAGCTACGGTTAGTGCCTTTATGCAATCTGGTGTCAAATCAACAAGACGCGGTTAACCGGGGAGTCGAATAGGATCACTGTACTCTTTATCAAATGCGAAAACAACTTTACCTTAACTCAAAAATCGATAACAAGAGAAGATGATACTTTATAAATAGCGAAATTTTAAACACATTAAGAAAGTGTTGAACTCCAATTGTCCATTAACAGTGAATTAAGAAATTTATTTAGAATATTCTATAGTTAAAGCATAAGCATGTCAAATTATTATTTAATTTTTTGCGATTTTGAAATCAACTTAGCTTTTCTGAAGTAACCGAGAATTTCGAATGTGGACTAGTTTCAGTTTAGGAACGTCTTTCCTTATTTGCTATTCGAAACGGAATTCGAGTTTATTTGGGTTGGTTTGTGGTGACTTTTGAGTGTGACCTGTGCCGAAACAGGCATGATCACCACGAAAGATTTTAGCGGGCTTTTGGATGAATTCATATTCCAAAATGGCCGCAATTTTATTCGTAGCAGGAAAAGAAAATCGATAAAAGTCTTGCGAAAAGCAAAAACTAATTTCGCTAGCAAACAAAACTGTGAAATACGGGTTTTCCTTTGTTTCGCATTCTCGCAACTAAGACGTAACATGTTATTAATTAATACTTATTTGTTTAAATTAAATGTATTTAGACGCACATATTTCAGTTTAAGCACGTTTAAAAAAATGAAACCAGAGGTGCTATTTTGCAGAAATTTTGTTTATTCCGGTTGAGCGAATTAGTAAGACCAGTTAGGTGAGACCATGTCCATCTCAAAATTGTAAGTGATCTATGTTTTTTTGTTATTTTTCAGAAATAAACTTAAAGTTGTAATGAACAACTGAAATTTGACCCCAGAAACGGAATGTAGACTGAAGGGAGATATTTCCTTCATATTTAATTATCTTATAAAACAACAGGACCCGTACACAAATCTGGCAATGTGAAGAGGACTAATTGTGCTTGACAAGGGTTTCGTCCATTGAGCTCACAGGAAAGAGAGAATAGTAGATCAAATAACAGTGCTATTTGGAGCAAATTTTATTATAAAACTTTGAGTGGTAAATGTTTTCAGTTACTATGTAACAGTGAGTATATAATTGTTTTGTGAAAATGATGAATTAAGCTTGATAATTCTATAAATACTGGAATTTTGTTGTGATATATTAAGTTTGACTTATGATTTACAATTTCTGACTATCTGTGGCTCCAGCGGCCGGGCTGAATTAATTTCTACTTTTATTATTGAGTAGAATTTATATTTTAATCAATGCTATTCATAATACTCGATTAATTTACTCTTAGGCACAAAATACGCGGAGAATTAATACGGACCAATTACTAATATATTTACAAATTCGAAATTCTATCTCAGCACTTACCAGAACTCGAATTATCTATTTCTCCAAGTCAATTATCTAATAACCTTAAGTTGTTTAATTTGACCAAAATGATTAGACTTCTTGTTACATTACGAGTTACCACGTTATACATTAGTGAAATCTTATTCTAGTCTCCCCAGTTTGTCAATTATAAATAATAAATAATGAGAAAATTTATTTATTTCAAATGGCAGGCGTTATGATAGGTATCATTAGCCCTTTAGTTGACTTCGGGCTTCACAGAAAGGAAGATGAACACCAACTGGTAAAAGTCGAGAGGGGGACAGAATAATGATTCACAGACGTACCGAGAGGGGGACAGAATAATGATTCACAGACGTAAAAGAGCAAGATGGGGGACAGAATAATGATTCACAGACGTAAAAGAGAAGGGGAGGGGGGACAGAATAATGATTCACAGACGTAAAAGAGACAGAGCAGACACAAAGGTAGAAAAAAGGTGAGTTGAATACTGTGGAAGGGTTGGGATCAGAAGAGCGATTCACAGACGTAAAAGAGACAGACACAAAAATAGAAAAAAGGTGAGGTGAGCACTGTGAAATCATTCGAATATGACATACAGTGGGATCATGGCAGTTTGAAGTCAGAAGTCAACTGCCCATTGATATGAATATACGTTGCCCAGGGTGCACCACGTGGAGGCAAGTCTATCGCACATCCCATAGTGGGAAAATAAATTCACTTAGAAAAACTCAGTGAATGCGGATACTTAGAATGACAATATTTTGGCATTGACAGCAAGATTTACCCACTACGTGAATCAAAATAAAAATAATGTATTATGAGGTTTCTCTTGTATTTGAATAAAAAAAAACAGATTACTCAAATTTAATTTTTACAGTTAAGTCAGATGATTTATGGCACTGATGAAAATACAAAATAATTCTCCGAATATGAAAATGAACAATAATTAATGGAGCCACGAGAAGAGAGAGTGTAAGAGAGAGGGACCTTTGTGGTCTGACCGAATATCAGCAGTTCTCCAACGTGGATTTGAATAAAATCGATTAGACAAGTTTTATGGTTAGATGAAATGCAGCTTACGATGAGCATTCTTCCATTACATAGGCTCGCTTCGTTTTATAAAATGAGATCGGTCATTGTCTGTATGAAACGGCCTTGAAACTTTATGTGCTCACAATTTAAATGACGATGCGTGTATTTGTTTCTATAGGGACTATAATGATTTGAAATTATTATCAATTAAGTTTGACGAAAAAATGCTGTCTTGACCAAAGCGAAACGACCAAGTAAATTTGTCTACAAATCATGGTATCGTACGAAAGCCCAAATGCTAACTTAAACATGTGGTTGACAGAGGAGGAGACACTTGCAATTAAATATGAAGACGACTGAGTATACAACTTGCCCGATTTTGTGCCAGTTTGTGAGTCCTTCTATTGTGTTTGTGGTAAGCAGGTCGATAGGTGTGAGTGTGTGCTTATAAAGCGATACTATTACACCATCAATGAGGCATGACATTCAAAACGGATTAAAAGTGTCAAATCTCTAGATACTTAAACTATCATAAGCACTGAGGGTTGTTGAAGCGACATGAAGTGCAACATGGGCCTCCTTAAAATCCTGTTGGAAAATTTGTGAACAGAGCAATGAAATGCAAACTACCATTATACACGCACGTTGCTTCACGAAAGAGGTGGGTGTATCATTTGCACTTTCACCAATTGACGTTTTTGCAAGCATTCTACGTTTCGTCTCAGTACTAATTTGACGTTAAATGTTCGAGCTTATCAACTCATCTTAATTCAATAGGTAAAGTCGATATAGCACCATCAAAGTTTCTCTCCTTTTCAGTTTATCAAGGCGCTCAAACGCAATTACTCAATTGTCTATTGACAGGCAAGTTTCTGCAATATTTATTTTTAATCATAAATCCCCGTCCTTTTGACGCATGATTTAAATTCTTATTTTCACATTTTAATCTTAAAAGCCAAATGAATACCCGTAGCCTGTGAGCAGTTGTTTGCGAATTTCAGAATAGCTTGCATAACTTGTTTAGTGTAAAATTTCTAATGGAGAATCTCTAGCATGCACGAACTATGGTGTTTTTCGTCGACTTAGGGGGTAGATGTTTTTATCTTTTTCATTAAAAAGACATGTTTTGTTCAGGAATAACAATAAATAAATTATGCGCCCACTATAAAACAAATTCGTTGAGACGTTTTGCTAATCTTGCCTTAACCATTGTGAGTCCAATATATATATATTTCCATTTGATTTTGACAAAGTTGAAATGTTTTATCTTAGTTTCTTGTTTCAAAATTTATGAAATATTACTTATTAAGCCGTGTAATAACTTTAAAACGCTAGAATTAAAAAAGGATACATTTTTAAATCTTTCTAAACTAAACCAAGGCACCAAAGAGATTTTGTCGGGAAAACCAATCTTAAATTTAAATTGTTAAATTTTTATTATATAGTCAAATGTTTTTCTAAATTTATTGCCCTTATTTTGTTTTTTATCATTGAATGAAATGTGTAATAATTTGCTAGTAATTTCAAAATGAAGTTTAGATATACTAGAAGCGCTAAAATTTGGCATATAACTGTGTTCGCATCAAAGTCCAAAAACGCGGTCACTTTTAAAGTCACTGGTTCGCGGGCTTATGAAACTTTGCCGACTTGAGTTTCCAAGTTACCTGACCTCTAATATCTTAAAATTGTAAACTGATGATCTAGTAACAGATCAAACAATTTCTCAAACTTAGATAAATAAAAATGAAGTCAGTTGTCAAGGTCAACCATTCCTGATTAAATAGCAAACGCCAGGTGGTTGTATTCCTTCCAAAGAGGCAGTCAGAGAACGGTAACTTTTAAAAGTAGACCTTTCCAATTGGTAACTGGAGTACTAGCTGAGACTAAAAGACAAATGCGTGGGGTGTGCAATAGACTTACCTCCACGTGGTGCACCCTGGGCATCGTATACTCATACGGCAAAAAAGTCTATTAACCGGCAGTTGACTTCTAACTTCAAACTAACATGGCCCGACTGCTTGTCATATTCGACCCCTACCGCAGTACTCATCTTACCTTTTTCTCTACCTTTGTGTCTGTCTGTCTCTTTAACATCTGTGAATCGCTCTTCTGTACCCCACCCCTCGACTTTCTTCTACTTTGATGAACCTTCCCTCTGTGAAGCCTGAAGTCAGCTAAATGGCTAATAATAGCTATCAAAACGCCTGCCATTTGAAATAAATAAATAAAAGACAAATGCGTCATGTCTATTCTGCCTTTTAACCCCTTCATCCTCTCAGTATGATCGAGGTTCTTTTGAATTGACTGTTATTTGATCCCAGTTGCCTACTACGATTAAAGATTTTACCGATTTATGTAGTATGCAAGTAGATTTAGCGACGACTAAACTACGACCCAATCACTAAATTTATAATTAAAAGGTAAAAAATGCAAGAGTAGGAAACACAGATTGATTTTATTTCTTAGTGGGCTTCAAAATTTCATAAATCAGGAATTAGTTTCCATGCTTTTTAACTGCAATAATTGGATGTTGTTCGAGTTCTTTGATAAATTCATCCACATAATCGGTATCAACTGACACCAGGCATCGCTCTAAAGGCGCATAGGAATCCACGCTGTTCGGTCTTTCCAAGAGTAGCTTCTTCTCAGTAATATACTAAAAAAACAATAAATAAAATGGAGAGCAAAAATATAAGCAAAATTAGATTAATATTTGTTTAAAACTTAAACTTTCACTCCCTAAAAGTATGATTCCCACCTAACTCAATCCAATCTATGGAGTAATTGAAACACAACATACACTTTTTTACACTTTTTTACAAAAAGGGGTGTGCGATAGACTTACCTCCACGTGATGCACCCTGGGCAACGTATACCCATACTGCGAAAAGTCTTTTAACCGGCAGTTGACTTCTGGCTTAAAACTACCATCACCCCACTGTATGCCATATTCGACCACTTCAAAATGACTCACCTCACCTTTCATCTACCTTTGTGTCTGTCTCTTTTACATCTTTAAAACGCTCTTCTGTTTCTTCTATTTTTCGCTTTGATGTTCCTTTCCCTCTGTGAAGCCTGAAGTCAACTAAAGGGTTAATGATAATTATCATACAGCCTGCCATTTGATATATATACTTTTTACGAAGCTATATTTAATCAAAACTTTCTTTAACAGAAAATAAATTTTGTCAGTTGAGTATTTTGAGCTGCTGTAAATGAAGAACCATTTACTGGAGGCTCCTTTTAATGTTTGTTCTTATAGTAAATAAATCGAATTGGCTTAGTTATACGAAAGGGTTANTAGCCTTTTCTCTGCCTTTGTGTCTGTCTGTCTCTTTTACATCGGGGAATCGCTCTTCTTTTCCCTTGTCGAATTTTTTTTCACTTTAACGTTCCTCCCTTCTGCTAATTATAACTATCAAATGCCTGCCATTTGAAATAAATAAATAAATTTGTTAAACCATACTCGAGTATCTAATCACATTTAAGCTAGTTGGCAAAAGACCCAATTACATTAATTTCCTTAAAAACTCAGACAGTTCTAATGATCGCTCTTGTCCTATACACCTACTTAATTCTCTCAAACAACAGCAAGAAATTCAAGGCCATCAGATGCATATTTAGAGATTAAAGTCATCAACCGCGTTAACAAAGATAACCAATCAAGAAATCTAAAAAAAAACTTTGAAATTTAATTAATTTAGCGCTGGATGTACTGACAGTTACCATTCTCCTCCACTACACCAAACTTTACCGATTAGAGAACATTTGGAGCACTCTTGATGTTCGAAACAGCCAGCTGAATTAGATAAGCCCGACTTGAGAGTAAGTGGGGATATTTGAGTTTCGACAGCGCAATTCTCTAAACAAGAAGTATTTTGGAAATTATGTGCTTGATTGAACTTAGAAATTGCATTAGTAATTTAATGGAATACATTATACCTACCCAGAATAATTAACTAGGAAAAGTGGTCAATATCAGTGCAATTAAAAATTTACTTAACTCATGTAGTTAGGAGGAAAAGGAGACATATTTATCTTTTATTTAATCATAAAATTAAAAAAAAGGCAAATTGTTTGAATGATTAATTACTCCATATTTGCTTCCGTGCGATTTGAAATCATTTACTTCAAAACAGGCAAATGCAAAAAAAGATTTACATAAAATGCTATTTGCGCAAAAATTAAATTTATTTAATCCAAATGAAAGAGCCTAGGAGAATTTCGGCATCTTATTAGTGAAAAAAGAAAAACAAAAAGAGTCTGTTCCTTGTTTACTGAATTAATTAATTCCTTTTCAATTGTATCAAAATCGAATTCTTCATAATAATAAGACGCTAATTTCGTATATACAAATTTGCATATTAAAATTTCATAAAAGAAAAAAAACAAATCCACTTTAAAATTAAATTTTACTTTAAATATACAAAGCAAAGATAAATTTCACAACAGATATTAGAGGAGATACTTAAAGATGATTAAACATGCCATTATGGAACCGCATCTTTATCAGGAAATTTAAGAAACTCTCTTAATTGGATAAAAAACAATGGCACTCGCATATACTCCCAATTATGGGTGTGCGGTAGACTTACCTCCACGTGGTGCGCCCCGGGTAACGTATGCTCATACGGCAAAAATGTCTATTAACTGGCAGTTGACTCCTCACTTCAAACTACCATCACCCCCTGTATGCCATATTCGTCTACTTCCACAGTACTCACCTCACCTTTTATCTNTTCTCAGTAATATACTAAAAAAACAATAAATAAAATGGAGAGCAAAAATATAAGCAAAATTAGATTAATATTTGTTTAAAACTTAAACTTTCACTCCCTAAAAGTATGATTCCCACCTAACTCAATCCAATCTATGGAGTAATTGAAACACAACATACACTTTTTTACACTTTTTTACAAAAAGGGGTGTGCGATAGACTTACCTCCACGTGATGCACCCTGGGCAACGTATACCCATACTGCGAAAAGTCTTTTAACCGGCAGTTGACTTCTGGCTTAAAACTACCATCACCCCACTGTATGCCATATTCGACCACTTCAAAATGACTCACCTCACCTTTCATCTACCTTTGTGTCTGTCTCTTTTACATCTTTAAAACGCTCTTCTGTTTCTTCTATTTTTCGCTTTGATGTTCCTTTCCCTCTGTGAAGCCTGAAGTCAACTAAAGGGTTAATGATAATTATCATACAGCCTGCCATTTGATATATATACTTTTTACGAAGCTATATTTAATCAAAACTTTCTTTAACAGAAAATAAATTTTGTCAGTTGAGTATTTTGAGCTGCTGTAAATGAAGAACCATTTACTGGAGGCTCCTTTTAATGTTTGTTCTTATAGTAAATAAATCGAATTGGCTTAGTTATACGAAAGGGTTAACCAAATGACTTTGAACCAAAAATTACCGCATATGTTTCTTTGAATCTTTCAATTTAGACAAAATTGCAGTTTTAGTTGTCAATATGCTTAAAAATCGATATCTATTTTAATTTATACATGAAAAATCATGATTTGATATATCTTAAAATTTAGTTGGCCTATAATAAACGCAGAATTTAGCACATGAAAGTTAATAAAACCCCCTCTAGGACAAAGATGTTTTCATTAAGGCATCTTATTATCATTAAAAAACTTTTATTAATGTGTTTTAAACCTTATAAGCCAATGCTGTCAATAAGGAAGTCAAATTAAACCGCAATTATGACAGCTTTTTTGTTTGTTATGCAGAAATAACGCATTAATAAACTTAATAAAACAAAGTAGAACGTACCCGATTAACGATTTCCTTAATTGGTTCTAGTTGGCTTGCTTCTCTAAATTCGAAGTGAACGTAGACTAGAGCCATTACACCGGGCACTCGAGTTTTCTACCTTTTTTATGAATCTTCGATTTTCACGTGTATTTATGTGCATAAGCTAGCGCAAATTTGATTGGTTTGGCAGCAACCAATGGCAAAGTTATCTTCATGTTGCCAGCTTAGTCAGAGCGTGCTACGCGAAAATAGTTTTGGCATTCATTGGCTAATTGGCAGTAAGTGAAACCTTTTAAAGCCACTGAATCTACGATCTATTCTTTCGCTTTATTGCATGAAATTGACAGTTATATTGGCTCTTATTGGATTAAAAAAATTGTAGCTTATTTTTTATACTATTTCTACCATTTCAAATATTTCGAATGGTACAAACTAGATGAAATCAAAATGATTATCAGCAGCTTAAATTTTTATTTAAGAGAATTATTTTCACCTTAACAGAGAAGTTGTTTAAACAATTTTTTTTAAAATATTGGAACAATCCACCAACAATTTATAAGATGATAGTTAAAATGGAAGCATAATTTATAGTTCCAACAAAAAGGATGCAAGTTTAGAAGTCAAGTACCAGAATACCAGAAATTTCAAGGAATTTTAATGGAAAAGTGATCAGGAAAATACTTGAGAAACACCGGGGTTATGGAAATTATTATTTCATTAAAATATACTGTCGAATTGAAGAGCATTCACTAATTATGTTGCTCAATAACTACAATTTAAATATCACTTTTCTATGCCATCCTCGTCATCGCGATTCACATTTGGCTCCTTCAGATGAAATCAAAATTATTGTCTGCAGCTTAAGCTTTTATTTAAGAGAATTATTTTCACCTTAACATCGGGTTTCGTTACTTCATAACAAAATATAAATAATATAAATATAATAAATACAAATAAAATTAAATATTTATGAGATGTATTTGTGTGTATAGAAGCTACAAAGTCTCAGTCGTCAAGATATTTAAATATCACAAATATCTTATAATTCAGTCATTTCTAAATATATAAATATTTTTACTAAATGAAAATATGTACATTTCCATCAAACATCCATGTCTGAATATATCACAATTTCAAGGCAAATAGCTCAATTTAATTAACTGCCTAAAAAATATCTGATCACAATCAATATATGAATTTTTATATATATGGACTCAAAAATCTGGCAATCATATCACAAAAGGTGTCAAGATTTGATGCAAAAAGTTATCGATTAACATAAAAACGCATTTTAAAAGTCACTACCTACTAATTTCTTTGTGACTATCCACATGAACACGGAAACAAGTGAAAATATTAAGCTCTAAAATGCAAAAAAGATGAGCATATCACTGAAATCTTACCGTACTGAGCTTTTTAAAGCTCACAATTTCATAGAAACAGCTCACTACGTCGTAACATAGTTTCCCAATGATTGAATTTCAGTGCATTTGTGCTAAATATTGCAAACAGCTGGGTACGTTTCACCTTTAACTTCTACCCCTTTATCACTCTTTATTGTATTTATAACTTAAACTGTTTGATTTTTGCTGACTTCAAATACAAGCACCAATTATTTATTTATTTAATTCGAATGGCAGGCGTTTTGATAGCTATCATTAGCCATTTAGCTGACTTCGGGCTTCACAGAGGGAAGGTTCATCAATGTGGCAGAAAGTCGAGAAGTGGGGATCAGAAGAGCTATTCACAGATGTAAAAGAGGTAGACAGACACAAAGGTAGAGAGAAAGGTAAGATGAGTACTGTGGTAGGGGTCGAATATGACAACCAGGGGGTCGTGGTAGTTTGAAGTCAGAAGTCAGCTGCCGGTTAATAGACTTTTTTGCCGTATGAGTATACGTTGC